GAAAGGGGGAGGGGTGGTAAAGGAGACTGGAGAGGGGGGGAAAGGAACGGAAGAAGAGAGAGAATGAGAAGAAGATGAAGAAGAGACGCTTAATTACTGAAGTTTCCGTCAGTTTCTTTGATTCCCAGTCGTTTCTCCGTGTCCGCTGCTGGAGCTGATCTGTTACAGAGTGACGCTGTTTGGACGCCGAGAACACATTTCAGCCGCCCTCGTGTTCCATTTACCTGTCCTCTCTAGATAACGGAGGGCAGTGCTACAGAGGCACGCGTTGAGGCGAGACGGCCCAGTGTTTCACTCTCCTAATGAACTGCAAAACTGCATCGAAGCGGAATCCGATGTCCGTCCGCCTCTCCGACGGACACGTCGAACAGGGGTGCACAGAATGTTGTGTGTCTGGCACGGAAGGTTTATTTTTCAGCACGTAGTTAACATCATATATGCCGAAGGAAAAGTATAATTTGGGGCACTCTGTACGTTCTCCTGCGTGTCTCTCCTCGCGCCACCTGTGATGCGTCTGACACATTGCGCTGCCTTCGGGCGTGTGGATCGCGGGGGTGGCATTGATTACGGTGATTAGTTGGGGGAGACGCCCTGGAAATTACCTCGCAACCGCCGTGAAGGCTCGCCCATAAATTGGTGGCATCACGACTACAGGGTGTTCCAGAATAGCTCGTGCCGTACCCAAGAATACCGGAGACATTCATGTGTTAGGCGTTCTTTGCAGTTGAACGACATCGCACTTTATGTAGGTTCGTTGTATAGGATCTGAGGTTTTCACGGCGGTGAGTCCGATGATGGTTATCTTCTGTAAGTCTGATTGAAGTTGAAATACGTTCCACAGGTCCCTGCTGCCTCCATAATCAGGGGTTGGTGAACTTCTGCCAGACTACGCGGCGCAACAACCCGTAAGACAGCCATCTTTACTTTAGTTACAATTTACGAACGATCAAGTATTTGTCCCTACGCCCAAACCCGAAACATATTCTGTCTCGCGTCTTTCATCACATTGTTACAGTAGTGACATTGGAGACCATCGTTGCATTCTTTAGATTGTCATGATGACGTCATCGATAATGATCTGGCGTATACAACAGCAGCTTCGAAATCTTAGTTTACTCCGGAAAGTAAACCTTTCGAGTGTTGAAGTAGGAAGTGTTTGAGAACAAAACACAGCGGGAAATATTTGGTTCCAAGAAGGGCGGGGAAGTTCAGATATCGAGAGCAAGCTACTTCCTGCCCCTCCCTACCCCTCTCTTGCCTCTCCTTCTTTTCTCCTTCTGTTCGAACCTCGAGGAACACTGGAGAAGTTCACTAACTTAATTCATTTACTGGTTCGCGGTCAGAATGAAGTTGCCTCGGAACAGACGAGTCCGAATTCCGCCACTGTTCAGGCCGAGAAGCAATCTGCCGTCTGATTGGCTGAGCAGCTTCCTGCAAGTTCGCAGCTAATCTCAAAGCTCCCCACTCAATTTCCCCATATTCGGTAGTTTAATGGAAGAAGGACTTATGTCTCCAAGGGCTTGGCACATCTGCACCAAAGAAGCGGCTGCCAGATGCGTCAGCTGTTTCTTATTCTGTCTAGAAGATTAAAATGACGCAGTCACACGGTGGAGAAATGGTTTTTTTTCATAGTAGGCAGGCAGAGCAAATATTTCTGTATTTAATCTGCTTCAGTTGTTTTGTGAATTTCAGTTTGATTTTTTTTTTTTTACAAAAATGTACTCTGATTAGAAAACGATTATCTGTTTACATTTTAAATCAAGAGGCTACTCTGATCACCTAAAGAGGCCCTCATTAATGACGAAATCTCCGCACATCTGCTAAAAGATGGCGGGATGTGTAGGTATGTCAGTTGCTGTGTGATGTGACTAAGAAACTGAAGCGAGTATGAAGGGGTTGGCACTCCTGTTTCGTGTTTGAAACGTCGGTGTGAACTCCTACCAACTGACGGTGGGTTTTCAGAGTCACTGTCTGAAATCAGGCCTCAGAGGACTCCTTCTGAATCCATTCTAATTCATAACCGTCCTTTAACCCAGCTCTGTGTAGTGACGTGCTGATAACGCGCCTTTTTTTGTAATAGAAATTTGTAAGATATTGTAGGTGCGTCATATTGTGATTTTATTTAAAAATAGTATTAAAATATAATAAAATTGTCCGTAAATCACAATAAAGTAATATAAGATAATTAAAAAATAACAAATGTTGATACAATGTGAAAAACGAAGAAATAATAAGAAAATTAAAAATTAGTAATTGAATTAAGAGTTTATAACATACACTTGATGACGGCTCTATGAAAGCCGAAACATGTCGAGAATGTTCCATATGTAAATCGAGTACTCGATGCGGAACAAAGGATAATATTTTAACCATTTAATTATCTTATATTACTTTATTGTGATTGACGGACAATTTTAATATATTTTAATACTATTTTTAAATAGAAATTTGTGTAAATCAGGGGTCGGGATATTTCAGTGGGGCTTCGCAGTCGTGGGGTCAGGAACCTCCGCGTTGATCAGGCGACTTCTTCCAATTTTGCGCGGGGCTTGTAGCTCCTCGGGTCGATATCGTGTGTCAGAATAAAGGCGACGAGCAATTACACAAGTGTAATTGCGTTACTGGAGGGGGGGATGCGTGAGACGGGCTGTTTTACAGGTCCAGACTAGTAGATGAGCCTGCGACAGCGTGGAGAGGTAAATAATATCGGCGTGGCGTTCTTTGCGGCTGTGGATGGAAACGCGGAGTTCATATCCCCGTTTGGTAAAATCACGGGGACCGAGTCACCCCCCCCCCCACGTGCCAAAACTAAGAGGGGGGCAAAAGGAGAAGAGAGGAGAAAAGATTATATAATTAGCAGCTTCATAGTTTGAATTGTCCACCAGATGTCATTAGTGCGACGAAATCAAGGAATGGAATGGATGAGACACGCGGTTCGCTTTGGAAAAATCCACATCTGTTACTATTTTAGTCAGAAAATACGAAGGAAAGAGACAGCTTGGAAGATATAGAAGTGGATGGGAGCATGGTATTATGTGTACTAGACTAATGTGGGTCAAGGTAAGAGCCAGAGTAAACAAGGTAATGAATGTTTGTAGGATTCGAGGTTATCTCAGCGGTCTTCTGATGAATATTTGATTTACGAAAAAAAAAAGAGTAATGTTATTAACCAACTGAGCGACTGTCAGGTTTTCACTGACGTCACACCTGTTACAGTCGGTTCTGATTACACGCTGAAAGTTTAACGAGCTGTGTCTTAGACATGTACGAAATACGTCCCTTCAAGTTACCATGGTTACAGGGGTTGAAGATGAACAATTTCAAATCGGAAGCCTTTAAAGTTATAATGGAAATTGTGTATTTGGACAAATCGGAAGCCTTTAAAGTTATAATGTGAATTGTGTATTTGTCGTGGTTTTTCTTCTGCTGACAACAGAAAGGAAGCATCGGGCCCTGTCCCCCTTAAAATCATTCAGTACAGAGATCCAGGGTATGAATCTTCAATTAACGTCGCTCAGAGAGGGACCGAGGGGGGGGGGGAACTTATTAATTTCGCAAGCAGTTCGCGTCTCCGAAGCAAAGTAAATGCAAATTAAGGCTTCCATTGCGGAACTCTGTCCTGCGACCAGGGGGAGACCTGAGCCGTCAAGGAGATCGACGGGATTCAGTTGGAACTTCGTCGTAACCAATGTTTTTTTAAAAAAAAAATAAGTTTTTTTGGTTGAGTAAAAATTTACTTGGATATTATCCATCGTCTAGTAATAAAACGTAAAACGACGTTTCGGAGATGGGCCTCTATCTCCGAAACGTCGTTTTTTACGTTTTATATTTACTAGACGATGGATAATATCCAAGGAAATTTTTATTGAATTGACTCTTCACCATCGTCAAAAAGTTTTAGATTTTTTTGGTTGGTTCTTTAAACGAAGTTTCGTTACCTGCAGAGGTTTAGTAACGTTGCACGATATCTGAGGATTACCGCGTACGCGTAATGGGAATGAACAGCCGTGGCCTATTTCAAGGTGCAGGCACCCCTCGCTTTCATGGCACAGCGTCTCTCCTTAACAAACTAAGCTCGTAAAAGCGTCGAAGTTTGCCTTGAAGCGGGCGGAAGCGAGTTTATTTTTCCTATCGCTACTCGAATACGCCCTTCGACCAGCTAAAAAGTGATAAATATGAACCAATGTCCGATGATGTCAAATCTATTTTCGCCCCTTCCCCCCCCAATTGTTTTAAAATAGCACAGAATTAGATTTAAATGTATTTTTTTGTGAATAGAACCGCGCCTGCGTGGATGCGTGCGGGCATATGCACTGAAAAAGTTCATTATCCTTATTCATTTCGGTGTGAAATGGTGTCTGGGCGTGAGGCGAGGTCTAGCATGTTCAAGAGTTACGATCAAGAAATAAAAACGCTATGAAAACTACCCTCTTGTTGCCATGGCAACGAATGTCTAATTGTATATCAAAGTTTTTAATATAATAAACTGTAGACTGGTTCTCTTCAAAGGACGGTGCTCTGTCCTCACACTTTGTCACAAGGAACAGCGTGGAATTCTCTGAAAATAATTTATTTTCAGTTTTTTTTTCCTACGTCAGTAGATATGGACCTATTACTTTATTTGACAGTCTCTCAAATGCAGTGCCTTTCTGACACTTTACGCTACGCGGCTGGAAAAAAAAAATGTCATATAATCTTCGCGTGTTACGCACGAGATATGTCGACCAACATCACTTGTCGTTCCGGTATGAATTTATTTAGAGTTTGTGACCAGTGACGTAAAAGTTTACCGCCACCTGTCAGCTGTAAAAACCGGCTATTTATGGCGCTAAGGACTGAAATTGTACGTCACGATGGAAATGAAGACCGACGTGGGAGAAACTGAACTCGCCGCGTGATGAAGGTATCCACGGGGCTGAGACGTAGCGGGTTGCAGTGAGTTGTCGTCCAGAACCGTTCGGGTGTCTATAATGTCTAAAACGGGTGTTTTGATGTTTCAGGTGCAAGGAGCCGAGCCGGTACCTGGAAAATCTTCCAGCCACTGCCGTCGTCATCTGTTTTCACAATGAAGCATGGTCGGTGCTTCTCAGGACGGTACACTCGGTGATAGACCGTTCACCGCCCCACCTGCTCAAGGAAGTCATCCTTGTGGACGATTACTCCGACATGCGTAAGTCTCGTCTGACATTCGTTGACGCCGAAAAGGCTTTCGGCTGATATTGTCGTGACCTTGACATGTCCCGAAGTTGTCATAAATATGTTCACACAGATGCCTAGAGTTCGGTAGAAAAAAACGTTTGATCATTACCCGTTTTAATATTATTCTGCATTCGGCGCTGTTGTGTCGATAATCCAAATAACTCCATCGCTGTGCAAATAGTAACTTAGCATTTTCCAATCTTTGCCCGTTCGTTTTCCTTTTTTTTTTTTTACTATGACTGTACTAATTCGTGCAAAACTAATGGTCAGGTCTCGTGAGTTCTTGATTTGTTTTTCACCTCGCTTGAGCTGATATGTAGTGACGATAGTGTCCCTGGGGGCGAAGGGTCATTACGGTTGACACATGGCGCTAATCTGCGATCTAAATTTGTTGTTCGCTACACATAAAATCGGTCGCTGCCAGCCAGCACAGACCAGGACAAGGCAGGACTTGAACATTCCGTCAATTGTTCACGTGTGTCGATGGCAATCTTATCTGTAAGTGCTGGGAAAAACTTCTGCCACCTAACCTTACCTTCGAAGCCCTTCGTTCATGTATGCTTGTGCGTCTTGGTAAGCTGACGGTCTTCAGTTAGTTATGAAATGTCCTGCCCCATAGAGAACCCACGTGTTCATTACAGTGTTCACAAAAAGCTCACCACGGAGCCTATCTTGAGCCAGATGAATCTAGATCACACGCCATTAATTTTTAATAAGATTCTGTTATCAGCCCATCAGTATCTTGGTCTTACCAGTGGTATTTTCCCTTCAGGGTGTCCTACCAAACTTTTGTAACCATTTTTCGGTTCACGAATTTTCTCGTGATTTATCACCAGTATTTCTGTTGAGGATCACCACCCTGTTATCAAACGACCCTCCCTCCTCAGGGCTAGTGACAGACGTATAGACATTGATTTTTGAACCACCCTGTACTCCCGGCACTGAACTCACGACATGCTGCTCTGTGAATCCTTACAGACGCTATCGGTACATTCCGGCCCAGTGGTCGCATCCTGACAACACACCACCCGTTGCTAGGAGACAGGTGTAGGGTAGAGTGGGGCGAATGCGCCACCTCGCCTTCATCTCCTGTCCATTCTTTTGTTGTTACACGGAGTAGCCACCGCGTTCTTAACCAATCAACCAAGTATCTGAGGAATCCCATGAAAAGCTGAAAGTGGTCCAGCTGGTCAAGGAAACCACTCTTAATTCACGGAACCCAACTCTCCATTACCGTGCATACAAAAGGACGCTTTGAAGCTTAATGTAGCTCTGCATGTTTGATGTTTCCGTGGAGATTATTTTAGATGGCTTACGTGCAAGACAGAACTATGTGTACTTGATTTTGATGTCACGTCTGATTTAATTCTTCTGTTGGGACGGGAGTGAGGGGGGGGGGATACGTATATTATTACCTTTTCTTGAGTGTTTTCTTTTTAGATTTTTTTGGTACAGAAATTCCTTTGAGATACGTTATCATCGTTATTATGGTCATAATCTTAAATACGATTCTGCAGAACTGTGAGCAGTAAGTAGGAGAATAATGACGAACAGCCGCATTCTTAGAGTTTCGACACTAAATTTTTAGTCGGGGTTGCGCGGTCTGTGGGGATCCTTCGAAATTTACTGCTGGCTCCGAGTCCCAATTGCGGCAGCCATGTCTCTACTGAACCGTGGGCATCTAGAAAACGCGACACTTCGGTTTCACTTCTAGGTTGCGAAATTAACTGGAAGGAATCTTTTAAGGACATTTCCGTGGCGTATTTCGAGGTACTTTGCCGGCCTAGAGTACCTGAGGATAACCTCGATAAATTTCTTAGGATAATATGTCGGCAAAGCGGGACGCGAGGACGCAATCGTGCAGTATTCTGACCACGGTAATAAAAGTTCAGTTTCCATAGCAACAGAGAATTCATTAAGCAGTTGAATATCGATTGCTCGAGGAACACTATGGATTAGGTACTGTGTGGGGTTATAAACAGAATACAGACCAAGTTAAACACGCGCTTTTTGTTAATGAAAGGGCAGTGCACCCCCCTTTAAGAGGCCGAAGGGGGTGGGAGGCGTGTGCCACCGGTTGCTAAGCCCCCCGCCCCCGCCCCCTTCCACTGTTTCGTGTAACATTCCAAAGCGTTCAGCGACGGTTGATCGGTTGCAACAAAGCACAATTCCTCGCCGTCAGCGCAGCCTTTGCGGTTTATACTAATTGTTCCACGTGTAACGGGTGTCCCACAAGTGCATCGAGTTTGGTAAAAGTGAAAATTCAACTTTGATTTGAGTTCACCTGCGTATGACTCGTTAGATTGATTGTTCACGTATTAAAAACAAAATGTATTTCGAAATTAGCTGCTGCATTATGTACCTCAGGGGCAAGGTTTGTCTCGGGTACTTGGAAGTAAATACCCTATAAATTGGTGAAGAGATGGGATAATAATAATAAGAAGAAGCTATATGCTCGGTTTTCTTCGTAGGATTTACAGATGGATTTGAATAGTGACCTCCTCTGTTCTTAATATTTCATACATTTTTGTTAAGATAAAGGGCAGGAGTTCCTGAATGGATAATACCACCACAACAAAACTTAATTCCCCCGCGATTCAAACATGTTTTCGAGACCTTGTGCCCTAATATAAGTGCTCAGCTTAGTTCTTAGAACTGTCGCTTAATGACCTCTGCCTCTGAAAGGTCACAGTCGATTGTCCGTGACATTTCTCTGAGGCCGCTGGCATTTGGGCGGCTCGATAATCCGACAGACATGACTGCAGGTCGAGCTAATGAAGTCATTAGACACAGGTGCCGCCCCTTGGAAGCGGTCGCCCGCCGTCTGACGATAACAACAGCAAACAACGTTTGGGATGTGCATGAACACGCTCTCTCCCACGAAATTATCTGAATTTCAGTTGCGTAGGACTCCCTGAATGGGGGATCAGACCATCGCATGGCCTCTGCCATCACAGGACAAAGATAAACAACCCGGATTTGAAGGGCGAGCTCAGTGGTTTAGGTTAGGTTACGTGTGACCGTGTCATTTGGATGTTGTTGATACATTTACATAATTACATAGGTAGGGAATAATAATAATAATAACAATAACTTTGTATGCCTACGGGATACCACGTGTTTAATTTACGGTCTGTAATTTCAGCTGCAAATCGTGTATCTTTAAATTATCCCGTGAGGTTTTTTTTTTTTATTTCAATTTTCTTTGTATGTTCGAACGTTGTGTGGGAGCAAGCTTCTTTCTTTATGGGTCAGTGAATTTGAGTAAACTTGGTGGAAAACGTTGGGCGTTGCTTCAAAGCTAGACTTTTCCTCTAAGGGGCCATATTCGATTCGAGCTGCCATTTTTTGGTACCGGCAAGCCAGTGGCGAGGTAAAGACACCAAGATTCCTTGGTCGGTCCCGATCTCTTGCCCCGTGTAACTAACTACTTGCTTCACCGCGATCATGCCCTCATTGAATACCTAATTAGACACGTGTGTCCACTTTTCTTGTTTTGCATAAATAATCATGGTTGTTATTGTTATTCGTTACAGGTGTCAAAATTGAATGAATTTTTTTTAAAAAAAAACTACTTTTGGGGGTTGTTGCGTCGTGTGGTTTTGTAGAAGTTTGCCCACGTTTTGCAAGTGCTTCCCCACTTTCATCGTCCGGGCGATGATAGAGGTAAAAGGTACCTCTGAAACATCGGTAAATTTCTACAAGGGTACACTACACAACATCCCAGAAGACAGCCATCTTAATACTCGCCGCGGTGAGAACCCGAAATTGCTCTAAATCAGTTTATTATTTCCTTAAGCATTACAGATCTGCATTGTTTGCGATTTGTTACTTGTTATAAATGTACAGGAGGTTCAGAAAGTCTCTGTACAGTAGTTGTGTCATTTCAAGTTTACAACATGCAAATACTGACAATATGGGTATTTTTTTCAAGGTTTTGCGGCACTGATTCATGACAATTTGACTTGTTAAGAGGTGCTTACAAGTTGGAGGACGTAACTTGCAACACGTCTTATAAATAGATGTGAGCGTAAGAAAAGGTATTGTTTTCTACTGTGTACAAATTTTATGAACATACTGTACTGCACTGCACGTTCATTCACTCTGTAATTATCTATGTGCAATTTACTGTAGCGCTAAAATCTTTTTTTTCCGTTGTGTATTTAGATATCAGTTATGCTAGTCTAGGTCACCCGTTTGTCGAACATGTCCTGTATGTTCCCGTTGCGTATAACTTTCAGTCAAATGAACTGGACATTGTTTGCCAAGTGTTTAGCAAACAGCCAACAAGCCCACGTTACGGCCCTGTTGCTCTATTTCTCACCTTGATGCAATAGTGGGACATGTCTGAAACGTTGCCGATCCATTGGGTTGTCTGCTTATTCATACCGCGTGGCTCTGCGTCGTGGCGTTTAGGCAAGCCGTCAAGTACAGTCTGTTCCGAGCCAGTCTAATTCACTACACACCGTATAATCTCCTTGATTATAATATTCTTTACATGCACCCCCAGACATTCTCGTTGTCTCTTTCCAACTGCAGATGTTACAAAGGCTGTCAGGGATTTGGAAGTATTCTGGTGGACTGTCCGAAGGTAATGCCTCATAATTCGCTAGAGTGACTGAGAAAGAGCGTGAGAACTGATAGTTATCAGTTTCGGAACCGAAATTCGAACTGAGAAAATTTTGTGTGTGTGAGAATGCATTTATCCCACCTCTTAATAATCCTTTTAGTGATTCCAGTACAAAATTAGAAGAATTGTTTATCGAAAATGAGGTAGTTTCAAAAACTACTCGCAGGAGCTACCAGCGTTTTGAGTACTGGTCTGTCACAGGTGACGTCCTCTTCTGAGTTAAAATGTCTGTGAGTTTGACTTAAGGGCTTTGGTTTTTTCGGTGATGAACGTTCGGATTCCATAAGCCATCTAGTTAGTTAAGACTTCGAAGAAACGAGGAAAGTGGATGAAACTACTAAGCCTGCAAAGATTGAATTTAAAAGACGAGAATGAAACAGCCCAAAATATCATAAATGTGGGGTAAAAATTCTGAGAGTTTGTGTAGTTGACAGTGGTCCTTGGTGTTATGCAAGAACTTTCATGACCAACTGATTATTCGCGCGAAGGCTCTGTCTTAGATTCATTTAATTGTATCAACCAAACAATCTGGCTGTATGTAATGTTTCGAAGGCTATGCTTTTTACACTCATCATCTTTGCTTCCTGTCTCTTTCACACATTTCAATCACACAGATGGGGTTTCCCCTTTCCTACAACTCGAAACGTAATCACAGGGCAGGATGGCGTCGTGGGGTAAATCGACCCCTTCAAACCATATTTCCGTTTTGGTGGCAGAGATGGATGCTCTGTGTGTACAGCTGGTTAAACTTCAACTCCACGTTGCCATAACAACCTCCACTGAATGACACTGATGCCAAGTTTCTCCTTAATTTTTAGTTTATCGTAAAATGTTTGTAGACGCGTGCATTGTCAGTAAATTAATATTCCTTTCCTTTTTTGAGTGTAAGTGATGGGGGAAATATATTTTACCGGTTGGCACCCATGTCACATTTTCAGTCTTTTATGGGCAGATCCTGAAGGAAGGGCACACGTCTGGGTGTACGAGTACTGAGTGATAACAGATTCGAACCCAGGACGGAGAGGAACTGTCTGTCGGAGGCTGGAGTGAACTGCAAAATTAGGAGCTTCATAACTCGTGTTCTTCAACACATATTTACGCGGGAGATCATATGTGGAGAAGAGGGTGGGCGGGACATGTAGAAATTCTGTTGAGATGTGTAAAACAAAGAGACTGTTTGAAATACCTAGGTGTAGATGGAAAGGATGGCCACGGTGGTCTAGCGGTTAGAACGCTGGCTTTGTAATCCTGGGGTCTCGGGTTCGATTCCCGGCGGTGCCCGAATTTATAACTTGTGTTGGGCAAGGCCGTGGTCTAGGCAACACGGAGTTTTCCTCCGTGGCATCCCAACAATTACTCCATTCACACACAGAAGAAGGCAGTGGCAAACCACTTCTGGATCATCTGCCAAGAACGTATATGAACAGGTCCCAGTCCGAGAAGAGAAAAGGATGGAACGATCCTGTTCATATGGACCTGTCGTCAGAGAGAACACTAAAAATAAAAAATAAAGATGGAAAGATAATGTTGAACTTTGTTAAAAGAAGTATCGCGTGACGGGATGGTCTGGATTTAACTGACTCATGATAGGGCCCAGATTCGGGCTGTTATGAATACTACGACTTATTTTCGGGTTTCTTAAAATCTGTGGACTTTTCGACCACATAAATAATATAAATATGGCTGTCTTCCGGTTTGTTGCGCCGTTTAGTCTGGTAGAAGTTTCACAGGTCCTTGCTGCCAACATCATCAGGGTGATGATGGAGGCAGCAAGGACCTCCGAAACGCCGGTCAGTATCGGCACAACGTCTCAGAAGACAGCCATCTTCATATTCGTTGCCACGAGAACCCGAAATGTTGTTACCTATCTCCTGTGTTTGCAGCCCATACGAAGCGTCAGTTGGAAGACTACATGGTGATGTACCCCAAGGTGAAGATTGTCAGAGCCACGAAACGCGAGGGGCTCATTAGGGCGCGTCTGTTGGGTGCCAGGCACGCCACGGCGCCCGTTCTCACCTACCTCGACTCACACTGCGAGTGCACCACTGGTGAGTCACAGCCGATAAAGTTCATTGATGGATCGATTGTGTAGGACACTGTATTACCGATTCAGTTGTCGATATTTGCGAAGAGATGTCTTTTCGATGTTGCTACTTGTTGCGTATGTGTAGAAAACGAGACTTGGAGTTTCAATCGATTAACGATGTCTATAGAAACGATACGATGATGGTTTTCGCCGTATTTGTTGGAACGTGGTTCTTCTCTGATGGTTAATTGAGATCATCTTGAAAACCGTGCTCTTATTATAAGCAGTTGTTGCTATGGTACTTCCTGGCAGCAGACAAACCGCCCCATTGGCACTGAAATGTGGGAAACAGTCGAAGTGCCATGATTCGTCCCGTGCTGAAGAGAGAGTCGTGTGGTGATGTGCTGTACGCCGTGCTGTTTCGGCAACTTCTCCGCCACGTTTGTGATGCGTGTGCTCGAATCACAACTCCGCAGGCGCGGCGAATTGCCTGAAAATTCCTGCCAGAACGCTAAAAGACGCCGAGCTTACTCGGTGTGTGTAAACGGGACGGCCCGGAATTTTAAAAATGGTCGCTCCGAATAAGAAATTTTGTACGTTCGTAGATTGCGTCTCACATGAGGTTACAATTTATCTTTGTTTATTTCAGTCTGTTTATTTTCATGTATGTAGAAAAGTATTTTACGCCTGCATGTAATGTTATGTAGTTCTTGTAATTACACAAACTGAATTACAATTAAACTTGACTGATTTTAGAAAAGCCCCTAAATATCTGATTACAATCGCGTCAGCCATTTCGTAGACAAGAAATTGTTTATTGTATTCGAATAGGCAAAGAGATGCAGCGAAGTTCATAAGCATTCTTCCATAGTAGCGACGCGAGCGTAAAATGACAGTCTTTTATTTTATTTGTGAAAACAAAAACACGCTCATCCTCACGTAAAAACGAATTGGCAATACAATTTGGCATCAGAACGACTGGTTTCCGTCGTAAGTGTAGCCCCCCACCTACATGAATGTGAACTCCCTTTTGATTATCCTGCTAGCGTCTCCTGCCTTCTCAGGGTCGGTTTAATTCATTGCTATTCATGGGGGCTTGACAGATCGTGGAGACTCCACCCCCCGAGAACCGAACAGTTCTTATTTTGCAGGTCACGAACGGAATTAATTTCACACGCACGTGTTAAACTTTCCTTAAGCGAAATGTCCGCTAATAGGTGACGGAAGGACACTTTCCTCCCTCTGTATATTTACTTTACCTTCTTTATTCATTCCCTGCCTCTCTGCCATTACCTCCTTTCTTCCTGTGTTTGATGTTTCTCTTTCTTTCTCGAGCTTTCTCCTTCCCCTCACATCCTCTCTTTAATCTGAAAGCCTGTCTTTACTGCGTGTTGAGACCCTCTCACGTTTTTAAAACGCATTCACAGACTGTAACCCCTTGAAACCGAAGTTCGTCTAAATAACATTTAAGATTTCAGTCCGTACCGCGAAGAAAACACAGCACTTAACCATTACAAAGGTCAACTGGTTAACCCTTTGAAACCGAAGTTCGTCTTAATAACATTTAAGAATTCAGTCCGTACCGCGAAGAAAACACAGCACTTCATCATTACAAAGGCCAGTTGGTTAACCCTTCGAAACCGAAGTTCGTCTTAATAACATTTAAGAATTCAGTCCGTACCGCGAAGAAAACACAGCACTTCATCATTACAAAGGCCAGTTGGTTAACCCTTCGAAACCGAAGTTCGTCTTAATAACATTTAAGAATTCAGTCCGTACCGCGAAGAAAACACAGCACTTCACCATTACAAAGGTCAACTGGTTAACCCTTTGAAACCGAAGTTCGTCTTAATAACATTTAAGAATTCAGTCCGTACCGCGAAGAAAACACAGCACTTCACCATTACAAAGGTCAACTGGTTAACCCTTCGAAACCGAAGTTCGTCTTAATAACATTTAAGAATTCAGTCCGTACCGCGAAGAAAACACAACATTTAACCGTTACAAAGGTAAACTGGTTAATGCTGTTTAAGGAAATAATCGCTGTTCATTGTAAAATATTTTTAAAACACGCACAAAATGCAGAATTAACGATTGTTACAACAGGAAGTACCCTAATCACAACTGGGCTTTAAGGAGCTGGGTCGCTGGACGAGTGTTCAACTCATCACAGCATAAAAAAAAAGCAAAATAATTTCTTGTCACATTTAAATTTTGTTTTAATGGGAATTGTGAGACATCTGTCAACTTCTATAAGATGTACAGTGTAACTTCTTAATCGTCAGCAAAATATTGTATGCCTTCCGTCAGTTTTGTCTCAATTTTGTGATAATTGAAACGTAAATTACAAATATACTCGCTGTAATTATAGGAGCAGTGGGCATGTCATTTTCTAATTATTTAATCTTGCTAATGATTTTTGTTTCACAGAATTCAACAAAATGGCAGAAGTACTGGTTTTCATATTTAATCTGACAGGCGACAGCGCCTAGAATTTGAAATTTTGCTTTATGCCTGTCAATATGTCACTCCCGAAAAGTTTAATTGTTTTGTCAGTTATAGTGGCTCGTTGAACACTGCAATTGATGTGTTCCCAGGTACAGAGAGATGGGAAGATTAACCATCTTTTGCGAGACTGAAGAACGTCGTATCTGATGACAGACTTATGGAAGTTCCACCCAAGTCCTTCTTCCACTACTCAATACCTTACGATGTTCATTTATGTAACATTCATCTTGTGAATTAATAATACCTTTATTTATTTAATACTTTTAAACTTGAATCAACTACATTCATTATTCTCAATTTCTGATGAAGTGACTTAATCAAAATAAGGACTTACACGATTAAAGCGATAGGCCCGTTAATAATCGAGTGTCGCGCAGTCTCGTATGGCGACATAAACAGAAATTGGAAAATGTTTTAATTATGAAAACCCGTACCACTGCCCTATAAATAGTTTGACATTAATTTTACAAATGCTGTGTCTCGCTGCTTGGGATTATTCAAACGTAAATCTGTAGGATGCTCTATTTTGTGTTTTTGCACTCTGTGTTTCCTTGTTTAACTACATTGTTTATGTTTGTATTTGTTGCCTTGTTTATTTGATCTGGTGTGAATTTGTTGGTGTAATAGCAAACATTTGTCTTTACCTACAACTCCACAGTGTTACAACCCATAAGAGCAACATTAGTATGCTTATGTTACTGAAAACATAAAATATGTACCCTTTTTGTAGCAAAACTTTTGACTGTGTCCGTAATCTGACTCGGGACTGACCCTGCAGTGACGACACTAAGCAAAATGCCGGCGGTGTGTGTGTGTGTTGTATTCCAGGGTGGCTTGAGCCCTTGCTTGATCGCATAGCACGTGATCCAACTACAGTCGTGTGTCCCGTGATAGACGTTATTGATGACACGTCCCTGGAGTACCACTGGAGAGACTCAGGAGGTGTGAATGTGGGCGGGTTCGACTGGAACCTGCAGGTACCCAAATTTGGTGCTCTATTTGTATTGTTAATTGGTTTACTTCTTTGGTGGTCATTATACTAAGGCCCTTTCTCTGTAAATTTTTCCTGAAAGCTTCAAGATCCCGACATTGCAGCCGTCTGTATATGATATACAAATAGTGAAATTCATTCGTTTGCTGCTTAAAATCAATAATTAATGATCTGCTATGCTAATAAAGTTTGGTTTAAGATGAGTACCAGTTAATAACTTCAAAGCAAGTCTGAATGCATCAAACGTAACCAAAATGAGAAAGAAGGACCAAGAATGGGATAACACATTCTGAAGCACAGGATGCGCACTGTCACATTCCTTGAAAAATAAAGTTGAAGAGGAAATTAAAAACAGAGGAGGAGGAGCAGTACAAGATTAAGAAGGAGGAGATGATGATAGCAAACATATTCTGATGGGAAGAAGGCATTAATTTAAAATGTGGGATACGAGTTCCTCGCGGTGATTAACATGTCTGTTGTGGTGTTCTGGATTTTCGTGGTTAGCAGTGTTTTAGAGAAAAAATTACCTCCATCTCCAATGTGAAATCACAATGAAAACTGAGGCAGTGTGTTTGTCCGAAGTGCTGTCAACCACTGACGTGACCACAATTTATTTTCATTTCGAATATGGATGAAGACATGACAGGTTAATATTAAAATCAATTTTTGGGGAAATTTGTTGATTGCGAGTTGGCAGGTCGATTGCACTGGCTCAGGATCGTGCCCATTTAGTATTTGTCATTAGAAAACTGGTTAGTTATTTCATCACTCGGTTTGTTGATGTCGTAACATTTATTTATTTACCTGCTTTCTTAGAACTGTTTTAAATTGATGTAAGTCAATTAATTGTGACTCTTATTATCAAAAAGGCCATCTTCTGTAAGATGCAAAACATAATTTTATTCTGTGTTAAATGACATCTATTTGGGCTCCACCATTTATCACATGCTTCACTAACAGTGCGTAATAATCTGCACCTCCGTAACTTGGTGTGAAACTTTGTTAATTTCTTGTCTTCCTCGTGTTGTGGCCAGGATAAAGGGTAAAGGAATGTCCTGACTCATTTCTCACTGATGTTCAGGCGATGTTTCCTCCAAATGGAAGGGTTTTGTGACTTTTATTTTTGAGTGTGTCTGAACTGGTGTCATCACTGAATTGTCTCCCATCTTGAGTTCTTGTGGCTGTCATCACAGGATGGCTTCCACCATTGTTGGATCGCATTGCGAGAAATAGCACGACTATAGCGTGTCCAGACATTGACACCATAAGCGATGCGACTTTCGAATATATGGTAGACTTAACCGCTGTTGGAGGATTCAACTGGAACTTGCAGGTATGCGGTATAATGGTTACCATGGCGATTCATTGCCCAAAGTCCATGTAACTTTTAATGCACTTTTAATAGATTTTTCCTGCTTTTCTACTGGCATTTGAAATGGTGACATGAGGGGTTGGATAAAAGTGCACCCCTCATAGGGGATAATGATATGGGGCCTGGTATTTTCTGTAATGATACAGAAAACTGCAAGTTTGATTAACTCTGATGGCAGATTAAAGGTCTGTGACCGTGATAAATTTATTAAACCTTAAAATAATGCAAAGTTATCTGTCGATATGTTGACAGTCAGTCACCTGAAGAAGGGCATACAAGAATCTTTGAAAAAATCATGTACGCGTCAGACAGTATTCAGTGTGTATTTTTAAAAACTAGCCTAGAACATGACATGTCAAAGTTGATGGAAATTAACCTTTTTGTGTTGAAAAGTAACGCAGTACAGGTTTTGTAAAATTTCTTTATGAAGTTAGCTAAACGTGAGGACATCTTTACGGTAACTGAAGCAGGTCATCCTTGTCTCAAAATGTTGTGTTTTACATAAATTTAAATCATCAGGTTTTGAAGGACTTGTGGGTGGAAGACATGGATGTATGCACTTTAATTTGTATGAAAATTGTCTTCCCACAAAATGTGGCGTGTTTACTGTATACCTATAAAGTTGGAAAATTACCACAAAAATCTGTGTTTGTGTGATTCTGAACACATTATGTTGTTTGTCTCTTGCTCTGTTAAACGGTGTTGTCCTGCCTACGTATCTTGCTGTGCGTGCCAGTTTCTGTTGCTTCTGTTTCTGGTGTATTTATATTTAAATTGGCAAATTTATAAATGAAAACTGCATTTCACCAATCCGAGCAGTTGGGACTATAAAAATTGTTATGACAGGATGGCTGGAGCCACTAATGGATCGCATTGCGAGAGATCCCACTACTGTCGTTTGTCCCATTATTGATACGATTGCAGACGACTCATTTGAGTACAGAGCGAATGGTTATCAGGTTGGGGGATTCGCCTGGAACTTACAGGTATGGAATCTTTTATGTAATAATTTCCGTGCTAAATTTTAGTTAGCAAATATGTCGTGTATTGTTCATTTATATTTTTGATAACAACAGTTCTTTTAATGCTGAAATGTGAAATTTGCAGCAAGATATAAGAATATTTTACTTTCGCTGACAGTAACAAACATCACAGTTTTCCAGAGCAAGTGATCGGTGTTCGTAGCTGTGAAAATGATAACAATTTATTTCATTTGTTTTATATTTTATAATTGTGTAATTATAAAAGAGACGTAAACTGTTTGAAGAAAAGTGCTAAGGAGAATATCTTGGCCCAGGAGAGAATAATTGAGATGAGAACTGAGGAAATCATTTAAGTCAGGAGTTTCACGATTTTTAATAAAGATGAATGAAATGTACAAAAAAAAATGTGTAATGTGGGGGGGAGAGTAACAAGTTTCCCCAACATTATGTTTGTGAACTGTGATGTGACTAGTCCAAAAATTCTGAAATTTTTGAAAATTATATCCAGATGTATTCAGATAATGTTCTCATTCTGATGCTAATGGTATTGTCCAAATTGTTCTCAGGTGATTTTTCTGACACTGATGTTGTCAGTACAGTAATTCCTTCGTATCCAAAACTGTGTTCAGATATTTGCTGTCATTCTGAATTTGATGGTGCTACATTTCCCTTGTATCCAAGCTGTGCTCAGATAATTTTTCTGACTGTTGTTGATGTTACAATGACACTGTCCTCATTATATAATACAGTTCAACTGGCATGCAGTCCCAGAGCGAGAACGTAAGAAGCACAAGAACTCTGCAGAACCAGTCTGGAGTCCCACGATGGCTGGAGGACTGTTCAGCATTGACAAGGCTTTCTTTGAGAAGCTCGGCACATATGACAGTGGGTTCGACATTTGGGGAGGTGAAAACTTGGAGCTGTCTTTCAAGGTATCACAGATGATCATCTATTATGAAAGCTAAGGGTAAAGTAGTGCCAGTGCTTCTGAATTGTATCGTGAGGATTTACAGAGGATCTGCTCCACTTATTCATGAACTTGTCAAAGGATGGAAATAAGAGGTCAGTTTTAAACCAAGGAAAGCGTCTGGAGTTGAGGTGTCTCTAGCAGTGAAAATGTCGATTGTAGTCTAGTAAATTGTGATGTTATGCAATCTCACACATGGTTACCAACATTTTTTAAGAACAGGGTTGAGGGAACCCTTAAGAGGGGGTTATACGTTCTTCAAAAATTTTGGAAACTACTTCCGAGATTGCATCTTATGATCCAGAAGACCACCACTGACATTTTCACTTTGTGGTTCCTATGGACAGGAGACTTGATAGGTCTTAGACTCAGTCTGAATACAATGGTAAAGAGAAAATTCTGAAACCTATCTTTCCAATCATTTTATTGACTGAGCAGTCTTAATTTGTCATATCTTGACAGTGTGCAAGTATGAAAATATCCCAAATTACACAAAAGATAAATAAAGAAGGTATCAGAACATGGGTCCAGTGTCACAATTAGAAAAGATGTTGCAAGATAAATTACGTGCACTAAAATTTTGAAGTGATAATTGTCATAGTCATTGGTATTTAAATTATAATGCATTGTATGCATTTATAACAGCTTTTAAGAACATTATCTCAACATTTCAATGTTTTCTTCTGTCTTATTTGAACAGACGTGGATGTGTGGTGGCACATTGGAGATTGTCCCATGTTCTCATGTAGGGCACATCTTCAGGAAGCGGTCTCCCTACAAGTGGCGATCTGGTGTTAATGTACTTAAGAGGAATTCTGTAAGGCTGGCAGAAGTATGGCTGGATGATTATGCAAAATACTATTACCAGCGCATTGGTAATGATCTGGTAAGTAGAACATGAGCTCTTTACTTGGAAGATCCACAGTTTCATACCAGCATTGGTTTTTGTGTTAGAGCACTTGGGATATTTTCCCATCGAACTATGACATAAATTGCCTAAATTAATTTATATTTTATTAATAGTTTAGATTTGTCTAAGAAATTATTCTTGTTTTCTGTACTTGCCTTGAAAATTTTTGTTCTGTCTTATGATCTTTAAATATTGGTCAATATATGTGAAGTCTGATCAAACACTTGTGATACAAGCATTTTCTTTGGTCAACTTATTAGTTAAACATTTCTTATAATGCCTTTCGTAGAGAATTCAGGTTGATTATACTCTGTCTCTAAAAACCCTGTGTTTTTGTGAATTTTAAAATTTTATGTGACAATGTATATTGACTCTGAATTTGGTGTACTTAAGAACCTAGTCAGGCTAATTAAAACATGTTTAAGTGAAACCTCTAGCAAAATTATAAGGGTGTTTATATCAAGGAGAATGAGGCGGGCGGGACATGCAGCATGCATGGGGGAGGGGAGGGGAGGGATATTTACAAGGTATTGGTTGGGAGGTCTGAAGGGAGGAGACCACTGGGAAGACCTAGGCATAGGTGGGAGGATAACATTAAGATTGACCTTAGGGAGATAGGAATGGACAAAGAATTTCCTGCACCATACAGTGAGTGAGCGAGTGTATCTCGACTGCCATATTGTGTTGGTATGTTGGTATTTGCTTCAAATATTTTATAACATTCCCACAGGGAGACTTTGGTGATGTGTCATCTCGTAGGGAGCTGAGGGAGAAGCTTGGATGCAAGTCATTCAAGTGGTACCTTGATAACATCTACCCAGAACTCTTTATCCCAGGAGAAGCAGTTGCATATGGCGAGGTCAGTGTTGCCATCTGTACATCTTTCATTAGTAATATATAACATAAGGGGTTTCCATGATGATACCTCTGTGGCCATAGTCTTATTTCATTCTCTAATATCAACTCAAGTCTTCAGTTAAGTTAGTGTTTTGCTGATACTGAAAAATGACGAAATGGGTACATACATAATTCATCAAACACTTATTAAAATAGCCATTCATTCAAAGTTGTTTTCATGTGGGTGTGTTTTGGAGGGGGGGGGGGTGCATTGGTGTTTCAATCCTAGTAGTTTATGAATATTTTTCAGCATGTTTTAATTCAACAACTGTGAAAAGTTTAAGTAACATGAGAGATAAGTAAACACTGAAATGCAATTAGAGTAAATGTATTGTTTTCTTGTGAGTGCATCTGTTTGTGTGTGTGTCTGTGTGTACTGATGGAATTGGCTGTGATGAATCAGGTTCGAAACCTTGGACTGGAAGGCAAGACATGTCTAGATTCTCCTGCTCGTAAAGCCGACCTGCACAAGGCAGCTGGTCTGTACCCCTGCCACAATCAGGGTGGGAATCAGGTGCGTAGCTTCTGTTTACAGGTAGCAGCGGTCGACAGCAGAGCATACTTCAGACCGTCATTCTTGTTACCTTTCCTGTGCTGACATCTGAATGCGAACCTTTTTTCCACAGATTCCTGTACAAGCAACATGCATGTAATTATTTTAAATTTATAATTAATCTCAGGATACATTACATTTCAATTTGTAAGTATTCCACTTATAATTCTCCTCAAATCTAATTACTTGTATACATTTTATTTACAGGAAGACACCATCTTCACCTTTCAATTAGGTAGCTGTTTTTTTCATCTCCATTCTTTCTTTCAGTGTAAATGGATTGCATGAGGATCTTTTGTCACGCGGTACAATTTGCACATTAAAAGTCTAGTAATTTTTATGGACTCTTGGAAGAAGGGGCGTCATTCTTTGTTAGCTGGGAAAGGAAACACGTAACAATTAAGCGTAGTTCTTCTAATTTGTGTACTGTATTGAAGGTGTTTGATTAAATGTTGATGTTGTTATCACCAACATTAGATTCATAATGAATGGTCAGGGCAGTGCGTGGACTCCGCTTGCAAGCCTGATGATATGCACAAGCCAGTGGGACTGTGGCCATGCCATATGCAGGGTGGCAACCAGGTATGTGGCCACATTATGACTGTTGTGTAACTCGCGTATAGATTACATCTCACTCTCTTCTTCGTTGGTGTTACTAAATGTTCAGTGACTTCATTGATAGACTGAAAAGTTAGTGCTAATATCTGCTACTGAATTTTGCTTTTTGTGCAATTAAACTTACCTCATATAGAAATAATACATCATGATCTGGTAACAAGAAAGAATTACTGGAACATGTACATAAGAATTTCTATGAGATCTTTTACAGTATAAGTACCACTGGATATAAAAGTTAAAATGGTGAGATCACGTTTCTTAAGACTAATATTATAAAATAATAGCAGTACAATTGATTATTTCTTACTTAATATCAGTGAATATTTATTATGTATAATGAATAAATTTAATTTATCAGCATCTCTGAATCTCAGATGATTAGCAACTAAGGAAAGATTTTTTTTAAAAATTCAAAATGCTGCTCTTGTCGCATTTTCTGAAATGAATTTTAGAGGGCCGAGTTTTATTCCGATCTATTCAGACACACGAATATAATCTGTTGTCTATATCTTACATTTCTTGTGTCCATTCTTCTTGCTTGTAGGTTGTGGGGCTCAAATAACAAGTACTTGTACTAATTTTGATGTTTCATTCAAGCTGCTAAATATTTTGGTTTTACTGTGTTTTTTTAATTACCTTATCTAATATTAAGGTTCTCACTTTGTGGCTTTCTTCTTCACTGTAAGCAGATTAAACATGTTCAAAAACTTAAATTCAATCCACATAATACAGTCTATCATCATAATCATGACTTTCTGTTTCCTGATCCTTAGAATGAAAATAAAAGGGACAAAACTTTGTGATTATGCATTCTTATTTATACTAGATGAATCGGCCTTTGCTACACGCTCCGTAATACGCTGTCCTACGATTATGAACATTCTGTTGTTTTTTTGACATACAGTTGCAATTGGGTACACTTAATTTACATTTATGAACATCTTCCAAATGCTTATTAAAACTTGGTAATGAACAGTGAAAGTGTATTAAAAGAATGTTAGCATTTTAGTATGTAAAATTTTCGTTTGTAAATTTGACAAGTCGTGTGATATTTTGTGTAATTAATCCGTGTGCTCCTTGTTTCAGCATGGACTGAAGTATGCTCTGTTGGTAACACCATACTAATATGGGAAGGTTAACGCTTCACTTCATACCTCCACAACATCATACCACATCAGAAATACGCATCTAAATTATTTTATTATTGTAAATTAACAATCATACATGTAGAACATCTTCTGGTAGATTATTAAATGATTTCTGCTCTCTGTTTTTGTTGTACTTATAAATTATGAAGTAATACAAATCTTGTTTTTCATCATCAGAACTTATTTCCAATGTCACCCTTTCATACATATATGAATTTTAGATTCGATTAATATAACTTTCGTGGAGGTATGATGGGTAAAATGTTGCATGTGTCAGCCATTTTATATGTGTACTTGTAACTCAAATTTTTGGATATGTGACACTATTTTCATCTTCAGTGTTCCATTCTCAACTAACAATTCTTCTTTAATTTATCCTTCACCAAATTCTAAATTCTGTTCTTGTAACATTTTAATAACATGTTTCATTTAAAGATTCTGTCTTTCAAAATGTGCACCTGTTCACAATAAATTAGTTAATAGGGAAGATAATTTTTCGATATGTCTGTAGCCATCAGTGGAATTTATAATGAGATTTTCTTCGTGTTATAAACGTTAATAATCTCTGTGGTTTCGTGTTCTTCTGCACAGACTTGTCCTCAGCCAGAGGAACACATTTTCTTGGATCCTCATTTACTAATAACTTTCTGTGTCAATAGTATTAAATGCATTTTTATTATGGCATATGCCAAGTTGAAACAAAAGGAAGATTTGTTTACCAAGTAAGGTCGTTGAGTGAGAAAGACTTGCAGTTAAAATTGCCATTTGTTTATGTGCGTTCGTGGATATGATGATTTACTGTGATGGGTTTCAGTACTGGATGATGAGCAAAGCAGGTGAAATCAGAAGAGACGAGACATGCCTGGACTATGCTGGTCAGGATGTTATCTTGTATCCCTGCCATGGCTCCAAGGGAAACCAGTACTGGCATTACAATCCTGAAGTAAGTACTGAGATTCTGGTTGATTTACAGAATCTGCCCCATAACAAATATAATGACTTCAGATTTTAGGTTTTCATTGAGGTAATTATGTTGAGCATTGTCTTATGCACATTGATGCCACTTACTAGATTATATGGCATCACAAGACCCAATGAAGGGTCTGAAATGTTTGTATGGTGACCAACTTTTGAAAAGATTGCAACTGTTATTCAGTTAATTTGTTTTGAAATGAACAATAACAATATGGACACTAAATAATTGTCATACCAAAATATTTGGTGTGATAATTACTGATGAATCGTTGTAACTTGGCACATGAAATTTTTGCGGTGACATTTTAAATGTGCATACTAAATTAAACACTGAATTGTTTATTGGTCAGAACTGTGACCACTTGGATTTGATTCTTAGCCCATAGCTGAGCTATCACTACCAGTGTAATCACTTTCATGTTTGTCCATTTTTGAATCCGATTTTGTTTCTCTAAAGTGATTTTAACAAATTACTTATATTTTGTGGACACCATGATACAACAGATTATGGAAACAGATACAAATGCTTAATTTAAACTCTTCTTAAAAGATGGGAAAATGCATAAAGATGAACATAGAAAACTTTTTACTAAATGCAGTCCATACAGTAAGACAGTAGAATCTGAATCAATTCTACCGAACCGCATCAAAGTACAAGCACATGGTAAATGCAGTAGAGAGGATATACTTGTTGAGATGTTTAACGGAACGCTTGTTGTTGTGTGATGCAGACACGTCTGATACAGCACGGCAGCAGCAAGAAGTGCCTAGCGATCAGCTCCAATAAGCAGAAGCTCCTGATGGAGGAGTGTGACAACAGCAACCAACAGCAGCAGTGGAAGTTCCAGAACTACAATCCGTCCAAACTGTAGACCCAGTGAGCATTCAATTTGTTTAGGACTGATCTTGGAAGATTGCGTAGTAACTTCAAGTCAACAATTTTTCTGTTTGATAGATATGAAATGCCCCAAGTTAGTCGTTGTCATTCCAGCTTGGTAATCTTGCACTTGCTCTGTCTGCCGAATCTCATAGTCTTTCCTTTCTTCTCTTCCATTTCCTTACAGTTCCTATCTTGCTCCTCCTGCCTTCGTCCTTCTCTATCTGTTTCTCGCTCCTCCTCTGTGTGATCTCCAGTTTCTCTTCCTCTCCATTTTATCAATTTTCTCCACTCTTTCTACTTCTATTCCTACTTCAGATATTTATTCTTTTTCTCTTTGTATGTCTGTCTTCTTCTGTACCTCTCCATGTTTCTTCCATGAACACTTCCTTAAATTTTTCTTACCTTTCCTTTGTTTGCTATCACTTTGCTTTATATTTGTGAGGTCACAGGTTCAGACCTCAGTGCAGAAACTGCCTTTTATGACCAAGGTTTCTTGTGGTTTTCTTCAGTCCTTCCTAGCAAATACCGGGATAGTACCTTAAATTAGAGTATGGCTACTTCTTTCAATATCCTTTCCAATTCATTGTTTATCCTTTAATTTAACATCATATAGTCTGATTCACTGACATTGTCATTAAATACACCACAAATTGAAAAACAAAATATTAATTTTCCTCTGTCTCCTCCTCTCGTCCTCCCAATTTTGTGTTGATGGATGCAGCCAAGTAGGTAAAGATGCAAATTATCGAACAGTGAGAGGCCAGTGGTTCATTCTCATGCAATTGCTTTGTGATAGCCCAGGATGTGGAGCAGCTAGTTGTTTATACACGCTCGTGTCTTACTTAGCAATGGGCACAGACATGTTATGTTAACTGTGTACTTGTGTTTCAGCCAGCTGATGGTATCAGCTCATATCATTTGAAGTTTTGTGCCATCAGTTTAGTTCCTGGCTGAAGAGTCGTCTGTCAGCAAGGTAACTGAACAATTCTGCTCCAGTCAGTGCCAATCGTTTAGCCCCTTGAAGACAGAAGCTGTCATCTGACGACTCATCGCAAGCCGCAGTTATATTCACGTCAGAACAGTGTTGCCAAGTGGTGCATCAATAATAAGAAACTGTTTCTCAGTGAATGACACCAGGAAGTTTGATTTGACAACTGTGTTATCTAGGAATGGTTGTCCATTTACAAAATCATTGCTCATAATATTAAAATTGAACTTGGAAGAAATTAATATGTCTTTGCCAAGAACATTGTACAGGAACTGAGATTCAGTGGATTCAAATTCTTAAGCAAATGGTGGGACCCGATTCAACATTCTAAATCAGTTCACATAAAACTGTGTGTGGGTTTGGTCTTGCCTCGTCCTGATATTTTGTCTTTCACTGTGCACAGAGCATGAGTTAATATACAGTTGTCACAGAAATTTCTACAATCTGGAACATTGATAGTGACACTCTATCCATGAAATGTTGACTTTTTATTTAGACTTGTGAAGTTACTTAATAGTCTTCTCGTGTTTGAGAAAGTCAGTGTTGTTGACATTTTTCTAGAATTCAATACAAATAATCCTCTTGAACTTATAAAAATGGCCTAAGGCATTCAAAGGATTGGAAATTTCAGATTTCAAGGTATTACGGGTCCCATACGAGGATGGTTTTCTAGGTGCTGAATGTGAAAGATGCTGTTGGCCAGCTGATATTCTTATTAATGGAAGATGTATTCAGATTAGGATGCTGTAAACAGTGTTATTTATTATTAACAGGTGGATGAATTGATGAAAGTGAAGATGGCAGTGGTTTTTCCACCCAACATATCATAGTGCATGAGAAGATCTGTGATTATGTGACAAAAAACAGAAACAGTGCAGTTGTATATCTTCATTTGTTACAATTGGTGATGGTTGGTTTGTTGCGGAGTGTGTGGGAACATATCAAGAAGAGAAAATGTGTATACGGATGCCAGAAACAGACAGTGGAATAGTCTTTATAAAAGAGAATCTAATTATGCACCTTAAACACTGCTACCACCTCTAAAATTATCCCTGTTACTGGCATTTAAAATATAATTTTTTTGGGTGGTTGATATCATT